AACAAAAACTCAGCTAAGACTCAATGATCAATTTTTTGCCCCTGCAGTACAAGTACAAGGAAGGGTACCGCAAGCAGCTCGGGCACCACATCGGCGCCCGCAACATCGAGGACGATCCCAAGATGATGTGGTCGATGCACGTGGCCAAGATCCAGAGTGACAGGGAGTACAAGAAAGCCTTTGAGAAGACCAAGACCCACTTCAGTAGCCCAGTGGACATGCTAGGCATCGTGTTGGCCAAGAAATGTCAAGGCTTGGTCAGCGACGTTGACTACAGGCACTACCTGCACCAGTGGATCTGCCTGCCAGACCAGAATGATGTTGTCCATGCTAGGCAAGCCTATGACCTACAGAGTGATGTGAGTCCTTGCTGATAAGCATTTGAGTTCTAAAGAGTGTACAATTTCCTTGCAGTAGAAACTATTGAAGCTTCTTGAACCATTTCTTTCTTACAGTTACTTTTCACATTGTGTTTTTCTTTACATGTTCCAAGGAAAATCATATTTTTTTTTAGGAATAAATGAATCTGTATGTATGGTAGGTTGAGTATTATGAAGATGTTATATACATTTAATTAGCCAAACAGTAGATTTTCTGCATCTAACCCAGATTTTCTGCATCTAACTTTGATAATAGACAATCTTTATGTATCCAGATTAAATGCATATAACTGTGTATATCCAGATTAAGCTCATATTAAGGGGAAATTGCCTAGTTTGAATGTATTTTTTTTTTAAATTAATTTCCTTTTTGGAGAGAATTCCTTTGTCCTATAAGATAAAGGACTAAATTAAAACCTGCTGTTCTTGGTAGGATTGTAACAGTAGGTAACTAATTTTGTAGGGAACAAATGTTACAGGAAAAGTTTATTATCTTTCAGGAGTTTGATTTAATCCAGTTAATCTTTGGCAATTCCCCAACATGTTATTAGGTAGATGATACCTCCTGAAGACAGATAAGGGTGCTCAGGTAAGGTTTTTAACAGAGATTGTTTTTGCATATTGAACTAAAAGGAAGACAACATGGAGAAAGTAAGGTGTAGATGCATAGCATATATGAAATGTTTAACTGGCAATATTAATGAGACAACTGTCTTTGCTTATTTTAACAGAACTGCTACAAGTCTGACCTGCAGTGGTTGCGGGGCATTGGTTGGGTGCCCATTGGCTCCTTGGAAGTTGAGAAGGCCAAGAAGGCAGGAGAGATCTTGAGTGAAAAAGCCTATCGCCAGCACCCAGACACCATCAAGTTCACCAGTGTCCCTGACTCTCTGGAGATGGTCTTAGCCAAGCACAATGCAGAGACCATGAACAAGGTGAGTCTTGATTCAGTGAGGCAGTGTGTCAGCAGTCTCTGCCTAAAACCCTGAGACAGGGCTGGAAATAAAGTTGTGTGGCTGTTATATCAAGAATTCAGCCATGTGAGGCTTTAAAAGTGGAAGATACATTTTTGGCAATCAACAAGTAACTTATTTGCAGCAAAAGTTAATTTAATAATCTGTCCTGAAATATCAAGTTAAATTAGAATTAGTAGTTGTGAAGCTTTCCATGTTCTCTATCTAGTAATATGTTACCTACTTTTCATCTGATTTTTAATACAGAAATTTTCTAATAATTTATCAATCCTAACTAGCAATCTAGAAATAAATGAACATAAAATCCCATTACTGTATAAGGTTTTTTTGGACTAGGAGTATAGATGTGTCATTCTTCTCATGTTTTAGGAGACCTCCAAGTAACACAGTTTTGTTTCCCTGCTCTAACCTCTGCTGCTTCTCTTGCAGCGTTTGTATACAGAGGCCTGGGAAAAAGACAAGACACAAATCCACGTGATGCCAGACACCCCTGAAATCACACTGGCAAAGCAGAACAAGCAAAACTACAGTGTGGTGAGTGTGTCAGGTCTCCAAACAGGAGGGGCCTGTTGGGTGGCTGGATCAGCAGTATTCTGATGACCTTTTAGAGATGATAGCATCAGTTTCCTCAGGAAACCAAAATACATGTTCAGGAAATGGAGACTTTAAACCCATCCTTTGCATCTTTGCAGAGGGGAGCATAGGTGCAACAGAGAGCAGCATTGAGAATAAGTTCTGTGATAAGTTTTGTGTCTGCAGTGAGTTTTTGGGAGCCCCTTCTGCCAGTTTGCACATGGTTAGGGTGGCAACAATTGGTTCCAAGGTTGGAAGTGCCAAAAAGGTGATTTCCAGCCCAGTTCCAAAGGGCTGTGATCCCAGGGTTCAATGCTAGTTGAAGCAAACAGATTCACATCAGTAAGAGGTGACTTTACAAATTACTTTTCACTCCACTTGTACAGAAGAATAGCTGCTTTCTGAAATTTTAGCCAGCCTTGCGCTATTTAAGTCTTGAAAGAAAAAGGTTTTTAGCTGATGTATTTAGCAGAGGTTTTCCTTACACAGGAGTTTGCATCATCTGCTGCTGTGGGTCTTTAAGTTTAGGAAGTTAGAAAGAGCTGGGTTACCATAAACCTTCCCATGTTTATTAAGTCCATGCTATTTACGAGCAGTTTGTTTTGCTTTGAACATAATAGATGGAAGGTACTTACATGAATCCCATTGTTTGTTTCTTCCCCTAGAAACTCTACAAACAAGCCATGGAAGAAGACAAGAAGAAAGGCTATGATTTGAGAGTTGATGCCATCCCCATTCAAGCTGCCAAAGCATCCAGGCAAATTGCCAGTGATGTAAGGGACTACTTTTTGTTGCTTTGTGTGATGACCTCTGATTTCTGCAATCTGATGGTTATTGTCTGGATGCCATAAAAGGCATTTCAATTAAAGCATCACCTTAAAAAATGGATCTTTGGAAGCAAATGGTTATATATGTTTAAAGAGTTAATTGTAAAAATTAAATGTTGAGAGGATAGAAGGACACTACAACACTGCTGTCATGTTCCTTTCATAGTTCATAAAGCTGTCCCTTGGCTGAAAACTTAACAGTATATACATTATTGTATTTCATAAGGATGAAATATATTTATTAAGGAGAGGATTATTTCTTGCTAGTAGCAGTGAATGAAGAGTGTTTTTTTTAAACACAGCTTTAAAACTTCTCTACGTGAGGTTCCAACTTAAATCTCAAAAATGTAATGTGAGAATCCACGTTATTAGCCTGAAAATTTCTTAGACAGTTTGGGCTTTTTGACTGTAGATAACAAATGTGGAGAGCTTTTTAGAACTACTAAACATGAGTTTTTGGAGATGATGCAGAAATCTGACACCTTGGTGTGTGTTTCAGTACAAGTACAAGGAAGGGTACCGCAAGCAGCTCGGGCACCACATCGGCGCCCGCAACATCGAGGACGATCCCAAGATGATGTGGTCGATGCACGTGGCCAAGATCCAGAGTGACAGGGAGTACAAGAAAGCCTTTGAGAAGACCAAGACCCACTTCAGTAGCCCAGTGGACATGCTGGGCATTGTGTTGGCCAAGAAATGTCAAGGCTTGGTCAGCGACGTTGACTACAGGCACTACCTGCACCAGTGGATCTGCCTGCCAGACCAGAATGATGTTGTCCATGCTAGGCAAGCCTATGACCTACAGAGTGATGTGAGTTCTTTTTGATTTAATAATCATGTGGTGATTATAATAAATATCTGGTGAGCAATATATTTGGTATCTTGCACACATGCAATCCACCATCACATACCAGTATGGGAGAACCAAATTTTCAGAACCCATTTTTAATTTTCATGGTTTATGGCACCTCAGTTCTCCAATAGGGCATGCTACCTAATTAGTATTTAAATTAAATGTTGTCATTCCAGAATTTGGACTATTTCTCACTTGCCATTCTGGGAAACCTGGTTTCACTATTAATGTAGATGAAATGCTGCATTCTCTCTCTTTCTTAAGGGTGATGAATTTTTCAATGGAATATTAATAATGGGGTAATGGGGTTATTTGACCGAAAAGATGCACTCTGTAAATGATATTATTATTACTATTAAAATAATCTCTGTGTTTGTATTTTGTCACAGAACTGCTACAAGTCTGACCTGCAGTGGTTGCGGGGCATTGGTTGGGTGCCCATTGGCTCCTTGGAAGTTGAGAAGGCCAAGAAGGCAGGAGAGATCTTGAGTGAAAAAGCCTATCGCCAGCACCCAGACACCATCAAGTTCACCAGTGTCCCTGACTCTCTGGAGATGGTCTTAGCCAAGCACAATGCAGAGACCATGAACAAGGTGAGTCTTGATGACATAACATGTCAGCAGCCTCCATCCAAACCCTGCAGAGACAGCTAGACATACAGTTGTGTGGCTGCTGTGTTGGGATTTCAGCTGAGTGAGGCTTTGAAAATGGAAGTTACATTCTTGCCATTCAAGAAATAACTTCTTTTCAGCAAAAGTTAATTTAATAATCTGTTATTAAATACCAAGTTAAATTAGAGTTATTGGTTGTGAAGTTTTCCATGTATTCTTCTTGTTGTCTAGTAACATGTTACCTACCTTTCATCTAATTTTTAAAACAGAAGCTTTCTAATAATTTATGAAAATTATCTAGTAATGAATAAACAACTTGTTTTATGTCAGTCTTTGAAATAGTTGTATTTGGAACAATTCAGCATAGTAGTTAAAATTTTAAACTAAAATTTTAAAAACTGAAAAAAATTTAAAATTAAATTAGAATTTTCTGAATCTATAGGCCTGACCTCAATCCTATTTATGTTACTAAAAACATTTCCTTGCAAAGAGAGACCTTGTTCTGAGAGTTTAGATGTCTGTGTGGCTGATAAACGTTCTGTCTTTTTTCTAAACAGATTCTTTTAGCAGAATTCTTTTTAAGTTCCTAATTCTTAACCCAGACATTAAGTATCTAGAAGTGGTAGTATGAATACAATATCTCATTTCTGTATAAAGAATAAAGATTTTTTTAGACTTGGAGTATAGATGTGTAGTTCTCATGTTTTAGGAGACCTCCAAGT